ATAAATATTCCTATACAAGAAAACCGAGTCTTTTCTACTAGCGAAGGAAAGTCGTCGGAACCGGGCTTCATAGGGTGGATACGTTTAGAGGGAAGACACTTGGATTCCTCTAGCGAGTAACCTCAAGTCGTTGAAGTTACAACCGGGAACCGATTCCCTCATCCATCATCAATAGTGAAGGAGTTCAAGACATTCGGTAAATATTTTTAATAGTATTTACTTTATAGTAACAAATCAAAATTTGTATATGATGCATGTTTTAAAGATGACAATCAGTTAATTCGCAATTAGTATGTACGGGTGTTGTATTTATACGATAAATACTTACTTTAAAAATTTTAAATTCCGCTGCGTACAGCCCGTACGGTACTATCGAACCCAACAGCAACTTCATCCCTTCCTTTTGAAACTCCTCCCATTCCACCCCAAGCATCTTCCAGCAGATCTGCACTTTAGAGCATTGGATAAACAGATGCTCATTATCTTCCTGCCCCTCATCACATAATCTGCACCTTGAGTCCACTTTGATCCCTTTCTTCAATAACTGAATATTGGTACTCAAGAAACCATTGTACATTCTCCACATGAAATTTCTAAGTTTTGGTTGAAGAGGTAATTTCCATGTCTGCTCCCACATTTTCTGATTCTGATTTCCTCCACTACTTGTTCCTACCCTTCCCAACCTATCTACTTCTAGCTGCTGTAATGTAGCATAAGCAGCTCTAACTGAAAACATTCCCTTTTTATCCCCATGCCAAATCAGTGTATCCTTATTTGCTAAGTGACTAAGATGAATTTCTAGAATTGCCTTAGCTTCAAAAGGATTAAAAGTTTGGCAAATCAGCTCCTTATCCCATTCTTTCCTATCCCTCAGCATAAGGTCACTCACTACAGAAAGTTTCTGTTTATCTCTCTCAAACATGCAAGTAGGTATGAAGTTATTCAGTTTAGGCACCCATGGGGACTCCCAAACTGAAATTTTCTGTCCATCACCAACCCTAAATCTAACCCCCTGCTTAAAATCCTTCATCACATCCATCCACCCTTTCCACAACCATGAGTCATTGTTCCTTTTTTGCACTTTGAATAAATGAGAGTTATGGAAATACTTACCCTTTAACACCCTGCTAAGGAGCAGATTGGGTTTTGTAATTAGTCTCCATAGCTGCTTCATGATTAGAGCCTTATTGAAATTCACCAAGTTTCTGAAGCCTAACCCTCCCTCTTCTTTTTCCTTTGCCAGTAAATTCCAAGCTGCCCAATGAATCTTGTCCATCCCCTTCTCTGTCTGTCCCCAATAGAAAGAAGCAAAAGACCTGGCCATCTCATAACAAACTGTTACAGGTAATTTAAAACAACCCATCACATACACAGGTAATGCATTCAGCACTGTTTTCACTAAAAGCTCTCTCCCTGCTTCACTCAGAAATTTATGTTTCCACTGATTCACTCTTTTTTTTACACTCTCATTTATATATCTGAAAGTCTCTCTCTTAGATTTACCTAAACCCAAAGGAAGCCCCAGATGTTTTGCAGAGGAAACACAAGAAATACCATTCAGGATCCCACAGATATCAGACACCTCAGAATCAAGGACATTCTTAGAGAAAAAAACTGAAGACTTAGCTAAATTGACTACCTGCCCAGATGAAATCCCATACTCAGATAAAATATGCATTAACACTTCAGCTTGATCAATAGAAGCTTTACAGAAAAGAATAGTGTCATCTGCAAAAAACAAATGAGTTAACACTGGAGAGTATTGCCCAATTTTGATGCCCACTAGACTATGATTAAGACTGGCTTGCTTCAACAGATTAGAAAATGCTTCTGATAAGATAATAAACAAATAAGGGGACAGTGGGTCCCCTTGCCTCAAACCTCGAGAAGGAACTACTGATCCTAAGACTTGACCCTGGATTTTGAAAGAAAAAGAAGCAGACCCAACACAAACCATAATCCAGGACAAAAATTTATTACAGAAACCCATCTTTTGACACACTCTAGCTAAGAATTCCCATTCCACCCGGTCATATGCTTTGGACATGTCAAGCTTAACAGCCATATATCTATCTTTTCCTTTTCTTTTGCAATTCAAAAAATGAATACATTCATTTGCTAAGATGACATTATCCAGAATTTGCCTACCTGGAATAAAAGCTGACTGAGTTGGAGAAATACAAACATGTAAAACAGACTTAAGCCTATTAGCAAGAATTTTTGCAATGATTCTATAAGACACTGTACACAAACTAATAGGCCTAAAGTCAGCCACAGAAGAAGCATGCTTTTTCTTAGGAATCAAAGAAATTAAAGTATGGTTGATTTGAGAAGGGAGTTTACCATACTGAAAGAAATTTTCAATTGCTGCACATAGCTGCTGTTTAACAGTTGACCAAGAGCTTTGAAAAAAAGCTGGTGACATTCCATCCACTCCAGGTGCTTTGTGTGGATCCATTTCCATAACAGCCATTTTTACTTCTTCTTCATCCACTGGCTTTGTGAGCTGAGAGTTCATTTCTTCTGTAATTGTCATTGGAATGCCGCGCAGATTACATCTGGTCACCTCGGGATTTGATGACTTAAACAGGTTATCAAAATATTGTTGGACCTCATCCACTGTCTCCTGGATATTCATACATTTCACCCCTTCAGAAGTCACCAAGTTATCCAAGCTATTGATCTGATTTCGTTGTTTAACACTAGCTTGAAAAAACTTTGTATTTCTGTCCCCTTCCTTCAGCCAACTAACTCTGGACTTAACCTTCCAATAAAGCTCCTCATCTTTGTAAGCCTGATTCAAAATTTCCTTATATTTATTCCATTCATCCCAACTCCTATCACCCCCTTGACTACTCAGCTCTGTTAGCTTCTGTTTGCACTCCTCTATTCTTTTAGCTGAGTTTGTTCTCAGAGATGGTTTCCACTTCTGAAGGGCAATCCTAACATTTCTTATCCTCTTCTGCAATCTGATCAGAGCAGGCCCACTAACCTCATCATTCCATGCTGTATCCACCAATTCTTTGAAACCCTCCTGTCTGGCCCATCTACTATCAAAAGAAAACCTTTTCCTGCCCTGTTCCACCTCAGGATTTTGAATCAACATAATCAAGCTGTGGTCTGAAGATGTGAGAGGAACATGTTTCACTAGAGCATTTGGTGAGTGGAGAGCCCAACTAGGAGAAAGGATAAATCTATCTAGCTTCTCTTCTACAAAGTCATTCCCTTTTCTAAGGTTTGACCAAGTAAAAGGATGCCCTACAGTCTTAGGCTCCATCCCATTTATCCCTCTCACAAAATTCCTAAAATCATCAAAACTAGACTCCTCCCTAATCATCCCCCCTTTCTTCTCATCACTGCTCATGATATCATTAAAGTCTCCCCCTATAAACCACTGATCTCCCCAAGAGAACTTATGCCTCAACAAAAACTCCCACTGTAGTAATCTCATGGTATTATCAGTACTTGCATAAATAAAGATAGCCCATTGAGATGTACTACAACTACCAACAAGAAATTGCACTTCAATACAAAAATCAAAACAGTGCATCTGCAAAATAGTAATATTGGGGGACCAACAAAGGAACAGTCCCCCTCTATAACCCACAGGATCAACACTAGTCCAATTCTCCCCTAACTTTAACCTATTAGCTACTGTATTAACAAAATTATTCTTTTTTTTTGTTTCTGAAAGAAACAGAAAATCTGGAAGATGAGATCTTAACATCTCTCTGATTTGGGAAATTGTAGAGGGCCCTCCCAGACCTCTACAATTCCACACACATACTTTCATTGGGGTGTTGGGGGCCAATTAGGGTTGGCCTCCTCCCCCATGACTTCTTTCCCTTTATGACTGCCTCTAAGCCTTTTAGCTAGACTCTCAGTGATGAAATCTCCACTTTCTGCCTCATGGACTATACTTCTTTTTAAATTCTGCCTACCCTCACAATCCTTAAAAGACACACCTACACTATCAACCTGCATACCCTCACCTATTGGTTTAGTAGTTCTGGCTTTTCTCACAAAACCCCTTTGAGCCTTTTTTCCTCCCTTACTAGGCTGCTCATCTTGCACATCCACCTCCACAAGCTCACTAATTGTGAGATGTTGAGTAGGCATAGATGGAGCTGGTTCAGGAACAGTGGTACTCCCGTCAATCTCAGATCTGTCCACAAGTTTGGGACTCACTTGAACAGAAGGATTATTTAAAGCAACTTCTTTACCTTCCCCTATCCCCCCAACTTTACTAGAAGAACCCAAAGACTTTCCTTCTAACCTACTCTCCCCCCCTTCTGGAGTTGGACTCTGAGGTCTAGAAAAAGGACTTCCTGAAGGCTGGCTATCAGTAGAAGTATTCTTATGGCTTCTACCCTCAGTACTACTACCCACAGGAGCTCTAATCCAATCACCAAATTGCCCTAGATTCAACATATTCCTGCTCACATCTTCCTTTCTCTTTTGACAATTCCTGTCTCCATGTCCAATTCTTCCACAGTAGAAACAAAAACTTTGCAATTGCTCATACCTGAAATCAATCCATTTCGTGTCACTACTGAAAGTAATTTTGGCCCCTCGAAGTAATGGCTCATTCAATTTCTGCTCCACCAGCACTTTAATAATGCTGCCTTGCTTAATTCCTGCATCAGGCAGTAGCACATCATGCACCTGGCCGATTAGCTTCCCTACCTTGAATCCTACTTCAGCTGATATCCAATGTAGTGGCAAATTCACCAGTTGCACCCATAACTTCACTTTCTCCTCCTCTTCAGAGAACTCTGTCTTCTCCGGATTCCAGGCCTTCAATAAGAGATACTGACCATCAAAAGTCCACGTTTTGCCTTGCAGTATCTTTTCCTTATCCTCCTCGCAACCAAATATGAACTGAAACGTGTTATTCCCCAGATTTCTAATATTCACAGGTTGTTTCGTAACCCAAATACTACCCAGAGTAATCTTTAACCCTCCGAAATTAACTTTCCTCTCCCCATACACTTTGCCAATCAGACTCAGAGAACAATCTTGCACTCCGATAGTGATATCTGTGTCTGACAAGATGACTCCTGTCTCCTCCCTATCCGAGAGAAGAAATCGTTGTAATTGAGCTGTCACTTCGTCTGCCATTGCAGCAATCTGATCCAAACTCTAGAGCCCCTGTAAATCGCACTAGCACAGCAATTGAAAGAGAGGTAAAGAAAACAAAAGAAAAGCCAAACAAGACAACAAAGAAGCGAACATACAAAAGGGACGACCGAAAGAAAACAAAGACACTAAACAAATCGACCAAGAAAATCTAAGAACCCTAAATCCTATTCCAGGAACTAAGAACTCCAAAGGGAGACGGAAACCCTAAGAGAGGGACTAGAAAACAGATTCACTTTGCGAATAAGTTCCCAGGCAATTATCAATCCTCACTTTTATTATCTATTTTTAATAAATTTATTAGGGAAGCACTTTCTTTGGGGGTTTTTGAAATTTCTAGAAAACCTTATTAAACATTTAACTAGCGCATAGCCCGTGCGATGCACGGGATGGTATATTTTCCTGAAATGTTTAACGTGTGAAATATTAAAAATAATATAATTTATATATATGTAATAAAAATAAATGGATTGCAAAGAAGGAAAAAAAATATAAATTATTGAACACTTTCTTTGTGAAGTAAAATTTGTGAAGGTTTGGTATATTTGATTATGAATATAAAAGTATGAAATACTACCTGCGGACCGTTGAGATAGATGAGAAGATTTACTTAGAATATATAGAATAAATATTGAGATAATGATTTACCTTTTACCTAGTATAGACAAAATAAATATTGACATGATGTGGGAAAATTATGACGAATTATGACATAAATTCGTTTAGAAAATATTCAAAAATTAGATTTATTTTTTATTTTTTTAATCCTTACAGTAATTCGTACGCTCCTTTTCATACGCTTAGTTTATCAATTTTACACATACAAATAAAAATTAATGCAACTCGAAATATTATATAATAAATAAAATGAGATTTTTATCTAACATTTAGTATATTGCCGGAAATTTTTTTATAAATCTTATTCTCTTTTTATGCACATAGATATTAAAGAATGAGTAAAAAAAATATCTAAATATGTTTAAAAGTATCTAATATTATATGTGTTAACAATGTTACAATCAAAAGACATTAAGAATACGCAGACTATTATATAACATATGTGAAAGTATTAAAATATTTTATATTATTATTGAAAAATGTGAAATTACCTCAATTTTGTCTAGACTATTTTATAAAAAAAATATATATACTTAAAGTTAGCACACACATATATATATCCTTAAAATTTGCCCAACTAACATGTTTAAAAGTATATAAAATTTTATATATAAAACACGTTTAAAGTTTACATATTTTACAAAAATTAGACTGCTCTCAGTTTATATAAAATTTGTTGCTCTCATATTCCGATAACGTATTATGCATTTAATGAAAGCACCCTACGATACAAATTTATAAATATTAATTAAAATAATTTTCTAAATTATATAAAATTGAAATAACAAAGGTAAATATTACATGTTCATCGTGAAAATGCGTTACAGCTCCGTTCGTGATGGGTTTCAATGGGTTTCAATAATGCGGACTGCTCTCAGACGCAAAAAAAGGTTTGTTATAAATATTAATTAAAATAATTTTCTAAATTATATAAAATTGAAATAAGAAAGGTAAATATTACCTGTTCATCATGAAAATGCGTTACAGCTCTCCGTTCGTGATGGGTTTGAATAATGCGGACTGCTCGTCATGGGTTTCAACGGACTGCTCTCACACGCAAAAAAGATTTGTTATAAATATTAATTAAAATAATTTTTTAAATTATATAAAATTGAAATAACAAAGGTAAGTATTACTTGTTCATCATGAAAATGCGTACAGCTCTCCCGTTCATGATGGGTTTCAATGCGGACTGCTCTCTCCCGTTTGTGATGTGTTTCAATAATGCGGAACGCTCTCAGACGCAAAAAAGGTTTGTTATAAATATTAATTAAAATAATTTTCTAAATTATATAAAATTAAAATAACAAAGGTAAATATTACCTGTTCATCATGAAAATGCGTTATAACTCTCCCGTTCGTGATGGGTTTCAATAATGCGGACGCAAAAAAAAAGGTTTGTTTCTTTTGTTAACGTACCCCAGTCTGGAAGCATTATATATCAAGTGTACCCCAGCCTGCTCGTGATGGGTTTCAATAATGCAGTCTGGAAGCATTATATATCAAGTGTACCCCAGCCTGCTCGTGATGGGTTTCAATAATGCGGACTGCTCTCAGACGCAAAAAAGGTTTGTTATAAATATTAATTAAAATAATTTTCTAAATTATATAAAATTGAAATAACAAAGGTAAATATTACCTGTTCATCATGAAAATGCGTTACAACTCTCCCGTTCGTGATGGGTTTCGGACTGCTCTCTCCCGTTCGTGATGGGTTTCAATAATGCGGACTGCTCTCAGACGCACAAAAGGTTTGTTATAAATATTAATTAAAATAATTTTCTAAATTATATAAAATTGAAATAACAAAGGTAAATATTACCTGTTCATCATGAAAATGCGTTATAGCTCCCGTTGGTTTCAATAATGCGGACTGCTCTCACACGCAAAAAAAGGTTTGTTTCTTTTGTTAACGTATCCCAGTCTAGAAGCATTATATATCAAGTGTACCCGAGCCTGGAAGCATTATATTATATGCGATGAAAAATTATTCTCTGTATTTTTTTTTCTCTGAACTCGTGAATGATAAGTTGTAATGGTGGTAGTGAATATCCTTTTATACAATTTTTTATTAACAAAAGTGATAAGATAATTATAGATTGTATTTGGATAGATATTAAATTCCATGATTTTTGGGATGCAACAACAAAATATGCAATCACATGTATATATCTTATCACGTTAAAGGTATATCCATCCCTAAAAAAAGAGAAATATATAATGCCTTAACGGAATTTGTGTATTTTCGTAACAGATTTGCTTAATTAATGGGATCTGATACTTAATTAACGGGAATACCAATTACAAAATCTTATTCACGATTTTTTTTCCAAAATTTGATTGAGATTACATAAATAGAAAGTCAAAAGTCAACTCAATTTATTTTAAATTTCTAAAAATGATTTTTACATCAACCTTTTTAGATATACTAGTACAGTGCCCGTGCGATGCACGGGAGCATTTATTACCTAATTACTTTTTAAAAAAGTATTTTTTCATTTAAATTGTTTCATGACATTAAAAATATCATGAAAATAAAATTTATATATTATTGAACACTTCCTTATGTACAACATTCTTGGTTTAATTTTATGACACGTAAAATATTACATGGGTGTTCGAATTTGATCTAAAATTGTGTATTATTAGTTATTAGTTAATAGATTACATTTTTTTAAAAAATTAAGGATCTTATTTATTAAGAAAAAAAATTAGTAAGAAAAAGGTATAGATTTATATGAATTTTCATGCCATTTTTTTTTTTAATCTAATTCAAAACTTTGATTAAGAAAAATTGAAAAGATTCATTAGTTTTTTTTTTCTCTAAAAATTAAACATTATATATTGTTTAGTTTGTTGCTTGTTTTGTATTTATATTTTTTAACTTACAAACGTAATTTGTAAAGTGTGGATTTTAAGAAGTGTTAAATTCTTGTTATATTTTTTAAATTCAAAATATCATTTTAAAAAAGATCGCTAGGCTACGGTTTAAGCTTGCTCCCGACATTGATTAGCTTACCAAATAAGATCATGCTTATCAATTTTATTTTTGAAATCCTTATCCGATTAGTTACTTGTTTTCTAGATATATATTTGTAACAACCATTAGTATTTTGGATAGCTATGAATCAAAAAAATATAAAATATTTATATAAGATATATAAATAAAATTGATATCAAATGATGTTTTTATTTATGTAAACTTACATAAGGAACAATATAGTAATATATTATTTAGAAACACGGATTTAAGTAATAATCCAAAAAATTATGAAAACCGATTTGAGTGCAAACCAAAAGAGTGTGATTAGAACGTGCATTTTGATTTGTTGCAAATATATAGTATATATTTTTTGATTTGTTGCTTGGTTTGTAGATATATTGTTTTAACAACCAAAGATATTTTGTAAATTGTGGAGTCTAAGAAGTATAAAAATCTTGGTATAACTTTTATATTCAAAATATCATTTTATAAAAGATTGATTAGTCTAACAAATAACCTCATGCTTATCAATCTTATTTTTTAATTGCATGTCGGAATAGTTAATTAGTTTGTGCATATTTTTTTTTATTCCAACCAAATATATTTAGTATTTTGGATATTGTAGATTCTATGAATAATTCAAATATTGGTATATGGTTGTAGATTTCAATTCAAACTCATATAGGATTAGGATTTATGGTTATAGATTTATTTGGTTTTAACAACCCAATGGTAGAAAAATTATCAAAAGATTTGGTGTAACATTTCAAACCCTTATCCGATTAGTTACTTGTATTCTAGATATGTATTTGTAACAACCATGGATAGTCTGGATTCTATGAATCAATAAAATATAAAATATAAAAACAAAATTGATATCAAATGATTTTTTATTTATGTAAACTTCCAATCGGATCAATATAGTAATATATTATTGAAAACCATGGATTAAGTAATAATCCGAAAAATTGTGAAAATCGATTTGATTGCTCACAAAAGAGTGTGTGATTAGCACGTGCATTTCGATTTATTGCAAATATAGAGCATATATTCTTTGATTTGTTGCTTGGTTTGTAGATATATTGTTTTAATAACCAAGGATATTTTGTACATATATTTTTATTCCAACCAAATATATTTAATATTTTGGATAGTGTGGATTCTTTGAATGATTCAAATCTTGGTATATGGTTGTAGATTTTAATTCAAATTCATATAGGATTAAGCTTTATGGTTATAGATTTATTTAGTTTTAACAACCCAATTGTCTGGTTGCCAAAGATTTATAGTTTTGGTGTGATAAATTAATACGAACAACTCAATCCAAACTAATAGAATAATAGAAAATATCAACCAACTTATTTATATATTAAAGCAAAAGCCTCGACAACTATATGTTACCTAGAGGCTGCTAAGATTTTTTTTTTTTTTTCCAACGATAGAGAACTCCATTAATAACGAAAATGAACAACAAAGAGTACAACCCCCGAGAGGACAAACACTGAGAGACACACTTCAACAGTGGTTTAGAAGCAACGACCCACAACACGACTAAAGCAGGGACAAACGGCCGGAACCCTTTAGCCGGTTTAATCCACCAAACACCTAAATACCACATCCTAAAGCTATCTCACATAAAGCTCAAAACCACAACACATAAAGACTACAGGTGTACTTACACACAACAACACATTTAAAGAGAAAATTACCCCCTGCACCTCCAAACATTTTTATATGTACATATTTGCAAGACATAAAACTTATATTCCTTTTGAAGCTTGAGGCTACCAAGAAAACGAATTATCTGATATTAAAATTCCACATTTCAGTTATTTTAAATATGATTGATTAATTAATTAATGAATTAAAAAAGGTAATAAAGTTAATATTGGGAAACGTCTTTCTTCTTCACCATTTCTACTTTCCAAAACAATTTGTCTCTCCTCTTGCTCAGTTTGAACGAAATCAAACCCCACAAATAATCATCTATCTTTTTTGTTGGGAAACTGCTTTGAATACTTTGTTGGGGTTATTTGTCATGTTTCCTTCTATTAAATCTACTTTTTTTTTTTTTGGATATTTCACGTTTATCTTATGCTTAGTATTATTAATTTACAAACTAATTTTGTGATTTTCTCTCTAGTGTTTTTTTTATTTTTTATTTTTTATTTTCAAGTTTATCTTTCCAGTTTGTATATTTGGTTTGTTTATCTTTCAAATATTTTGTATTCACTATACTTTTTTTTATGGAAAATGTAAAAATTAAAAATACCTCAATTCTTCAATAATAAAGCAACATATTTATTATTTAGACGGTTGTTAGAAGGTTTAGTTTAGGATTACTTTCTTCCATTGAACCAGGAACATGAAAAAAATTATAAACTAATAACAACCTATCCAACCAACTTAATTCGAAAAATTAAAAACGATGTAATCATAATAAACATTGAAACTTAATGTCTATTGTGTTTATCAATTGTATGGAATTTCAATATTTTTTTAACTGTTTTTATTTTTACCTAAGAAAAATGAAACATATCGAAAAATCATGAAGTACCATTACATAACATCAATATACTTATAAATATCCATACCCAGTAAACAAAATTTAGTTTCAAACCTTAATCCAAACCAACAAAATAAAAAAAGCATGGATGTGAAAGTTCTGGCAGAGGTTGTTTTGACAGTAACTATGATGCAAACCTTGAAACTTGCAAAAGAATAGCTTATCAGCTTCCACGGCGAGTTGAAAACTTCAGTCGATCGAGGTTCGCGAGCGCTTTGGGATCATTGATTGCCTCGCAATTTTTCGAAACGGATATTTCGCTTTCTCTTTTCCTCTCTTTGGTATCTCCTTCCGTCCGTTCAATTTTGGCGTCAATCACTGAATGAATGGAAGACCTATTATTTCAGAGATTTCACTTCCATTCATTACGTCTTTTTGCCTCACATAAACACAACAACCACAGCCGCTTTACACACAACAACACAAAAAGCCCAAAAACACACCTAAATCTATCCCACATAAACCTGTACACACCCACCAACAGCAAAACAGAAACTACAAAACATAAAAGCTTAAAGACTATAAGAAAAGTGCTTTTCATTCACGATAGCAAAGCCAAACTCAACCCGGAAATTAAAGGCTCTCCTTTATGTACGCAATCGAACGCATTTCGAGGTCGGTCGACTCTGTAGTGCTGTGAAGGTCACCGGTCGCGGCTCGAGGTCGGATGCAGAGGAGGGTCACTGGAAGTCAGATGTGAGTTCGAACTCGCCGGGATGTCTCGAAATGCCGATGAGTTTCACGGACGACGCGGCGCTGGAACGGAGAGAGTATTTGGGGGTCGCGACCTTGGGTTGCTCTGGCCGTCGGAATTCGAGGTTCGCTGCTTGTGGCCGGACGACACGTTTGCCATGTTTGTCTCGCCGAAGGAAAAAGTTGCAGAAAAGGTTTTTCGCGAGTGAAATTGAGGGTGAGATGCGGAGGGAGATCTTAGGGCTGGCTGAGGATTTTAAAGGAGAAGGATTGGCTGTAAAAAAATCCCGATGGACCTGCTGAAATTTGGGGAAGAGGAGAGATTTGGGGCGGAAATTTGGGAATAGACGACTGATTCTATTTAATTATCTTCTTACTTAATTAGGAGTTAATAAATTAGATTTGGTTAATTAGCAAAATAATAGTTAAAGTTGTTAAAAAAATCCGCATAACTTGTTAAAAGTTGTTAAAAAAGGCAAAAAAATTTGAACAGATATTTGTGAAATTTGTGAACAAACAAAATTCCACAAAATCCGATATCATTTGTTAACAACATTCGAATTATTTGTGGAGCCAAGATTGACGTGATTTAATTTTTTATTAATTTTATGTTAATTTGTGGGGCCCTTTGATATTACTTATATTAGTAAGTCAAAATGTTATTTTTTAAGTCAACCATACTATTTTTGTATTTTTCCAACAACCTCTTTATATTACTATAGATATAGATTGATTTTATAAACTACTTTGTAACCGAGGAAGCGAAGACATAAAGCAATAAACCCTATTGTAGTTCAACTTTCAACAGATTACAACACACACATCGATTTTAAATCCCAGCAAAATAAACAAAACCCTAATTCTTGTTCAACTGGGAAAAAGGGTCACAAGATACTTAATTCGAACTAAAGGAGAAGAAAAGATTAGATCTTTGCATGTTTGGTTGATTTCAAGCACTGAAGCCTTCTTCGGAACCCAAAAATGGTGAGTGTTACATCCTTAATTTATCCTCAAGTACGAACAGTCACTCGATCTATACATATGATTGTATTGGTGAGTGGATTTGTGTGTCTGTTTCGCAAAAATGTTTTTTTTTTTAATCTCTGATTATTATTAACTTTAGGAGTGTGTAAAGAAGAAAATGTATAAAAGTCTGTTTTGCAGAAATGAATTTCGTTTTATCTCTGATGATTGTTTACTTTCAGATTGTGTAAAGAAGAACATATATAAAATTATAAATCTTGTGCATAACTGATAAAGTGGCTTTAATTTTACCAGTGTAGTTATTGAAACGAACCCTGGCAAGCAATAGATTTTTCGAATAATCTGGGTCGTTGATGCAAATTGTCAATTTTCAGAGTCTTCCTTTTAGCATTTTATGAATAATATGTATTTTATTGTTCTCCTGACATTTTGCTGAGCTATATTGTTAGAAGTGTAAATGAGTCAAGATGAATTCGAGCTTATGATACTCGAGATCGGGTTTGCCGAGCCTAATCGAGCTTGGTTGGTTAATTATATGAGCAGATAAACGAGCTTGATCTTAACTCATTTATCAATATTAACGAATTGAATTCGAGCATTAACGAGTCGAGCCTCTAACTAAAACGGCTTTAAACAAGCTAGAGCTTGGCTTGCTTATCAAATGAGCCAAGCAGAGCTCCCAAGTGGCTCGTTTTGTTTAAGCGGCAACAATTTGTGACCTTTTTCTGTTATTGAGTAAGCTTGTGAAGAATTGGTTGAGTTTACTATCAACAAGATGATATTAGTATCATTTTGTCACTACTGCTCTTGGTCCTTGATGGATTAATTCTCTTATTTAAGGAAAAAAAATAAATAATGAATATTCAATTCTGCCAACCTGAAATTTTGCAATAGGCTTCGCCATTAATAGCTGGGCTTGCTGTTGCTGCTGCTGCTTATGCTGGTAAATATGGGCTTCGTGCCTGGCAAGCATTCAAGGCGAGGCCACCAACTGCTAGGATGCGTAAATTCTATGAAGGCGGTTTCCAGCCGAAAATGACGAGAAGGGAAGCAGCTCTTATTCTTGGAGTGAGGTAATTTTTCAAAATATGCCACCTTTTTTTCTAACCCTCTGCAATTTAGCATGACAATTTGAGATTTCCTTTCTAATNTAGTGGAAGTGCAATAATCCAGCTTTGAGTGATTTGATTTCTAGCCTTGATCGAAAATTGCAACTTTCTTCAATTGTCCTGTTGATGCAAATAGTTGATGCAAATTAGATCAATCTTCATTTTTTTCAGAGTTAATTGCGATTCTCATTCGTTTTCATTTTCAATGTTGTTTCTTTTTATGAGTCTCCATGCCCTTATTTTTTTATTCTTTTTGTTTAGGTCCTGAATGTTGTTGATCCATAATTTTGTAACTCAAAATCTATCTCAACCCAAATCTCTTCAATACTATCAATATAATGAAATAATATAAATCAATCATTCACACATCACATCAACTTTAATTTATCATTCATCCACTCGCATAATTTTAATTACTCATCACTTTCAATCACATTTTTCCTACTTTTACATCAAATCAACTTTAATCATTATATTTCAAATATTATTTTATTACAAACTCAAAATCCCAATAAAACATAACCCAATCAACTTTTTCAAAATTAACTCTCGTTAACGGTTAACCAACAAATCCAATCAAAACAAAAATAACTTATATCCAATTATCCCCCTTAGTAATTTTTTTATGCCAGCTATTGCGGTCACGACTAACACCATTTGACAATGAAAAATTTGAAAAAAATAAAATCTGAATTTGCATTAAATTTGAATTTGATCATCGATTTTTTTAAAACCGAGCAGGGAAAGCACTCCAACGGAGAAGATAAGAGAGGCTCACAGGCGGCTGATGGTGGCCAACCATCCGGATGCTGGCGGAAGCCATTACATTGCTTCTAAAGTCAATGAAGCTAAGGATTTGTTACTCGGAAAGTCGAAAAGTAGCGACTCTGCATTTTAGTCATAACCAAAATAGATTAAGCAAAGTTGTTACTGTTTTGGGGATCGAAGATAAGCTCCATGGGGAATGAGATTTAGCAACGGCTGCCAATTTTGCCGCGGAATTTTGCAGTCTTATTCCCTAAAGGCTACTTGTGTTCTCTATTGATTCCTTAAAACACTTTTTGTGTGTGTGTATACAGTGTGTTATAATTTGGGCATTGAAGTTTTTGTTTCATTTGTTTGTGATGCACTGATATGAGGTGGAGGACCCGATATTTAATTTTTTTTAGCCAGATGAGTACAATAATATAATTTAGTATTATATATGTTTATATCATGAGAAATATAATTTTATTGGTTAATTACAAGAAAAAAAAAGTTAATTATTCTACTGTACAAAAATTAATGTAGCCAAAAGATTGAATTAAGGGTTTGAATACTATACTTGTATGGTATGTTTAGGATGCGGAAATTTACCTAGGTGCATCAAGAATTGTAAAAAGCCCGAGCTGGAGCTTTTTGTTTTGAAGCCTTTGTCGAGTCGACGCAAGCTTGATCTTTTTTATTCTTGAGCCTTTACTAAACTGACACGAGCTCGAATATTGATTTAGGTCTTTGATCTTTTGATTCTCGAGCCTTTATTGAACTGACACATGCTCGAATTTAGGTTTGTTTATCAATTATAACGAGCCAGACCAAGTTAAAGAAAAAAAAATGTGTAAAAATCAAATTTATCGAGTAAGCTCAACTTGTTAACCAAATGAGCTAACGTGTCCGTCTCGGTCGATTTTTATAACAAAGATATATATATAAGATATACATCAAATAGTTGTCGATTTCGGCCACAACACCAGATCTAGGCTAGGCGTCAGGTTGTTTATAAAAACAGAAAACTCCAAAGAGCACGCCGGCGAGAAGGGAGGCTCGCGACGACGGTTCGCATTTCGAGGGGCTCGTGTCGGTTGCTTCTTGGTGATGGCAGAAAAGGAGGCGTGTTGGCTCAGGCGTGGCTGTTTGCGGCGGCTAGAGGTGGTTCGATGACTGATAGATTCGTGAAGGGTGAATTCCCGGTGTGAACGTGCGACAACTGGTGGCAGATTCTGGGCTTGGCGGAGGTCTGAGCGATCTGACGATTCATCTGTACACGGCTCAGACTGACGGGGCTCTCGAGGTGGTCGACGACTTGATTCCCAAGGCGGCGGCAACTCGGTAAGTGACGGTTGATGTGGTCCGTCAGTTACTGGTGGCGGTCGTGCACCTGCGGGGTCTAACGAGCGATGATGACGTGACCGTCAAGTCCTGTAATTTGCGACCCATCGAAAAAAAAGAGAAAAAAATCAATTAAAGGGGAAGAGAAAAAAATTAAACGAAGAACAGTAGAAGTAGAAGAGGAAGAAGACGAGAGAGAAAGAGAGAGAGAGAGAATGTGCTGTAGATATTAAATCCCATTAAGTTAGGTAACTGATCCCAATAAATCAGTCTTAGTAATTTTACAAATAAAATAAAAAAATACTACAAGTACATAATAAATGTACATAGAAGTGTACATAACATTTATTTGGGGTGGGGTCTACTTAATTTTTTTTTTTTTGGTAGGACCACTTAATGTGAGTGTTATGTACACCTCTATGTACATTATTATGTACCTATATTATTACTCATAAAATAATAATCTCGTATACATGCAATAAAAGTTCTGTTGTATCGTTCAAGGAGTAATTTTCTCAAAAAGAAAGCGAAAACTAAAACCTGTTATCTCCAGTATTGCTGGGCTTAAATTCCCCGAAGAGTTGGGCTCACATGGGCTCCCTAATATTTAAAGAAGAAACTAACCGATTATTCACCTTAAATTTGGCTACTAAAAATTCCTTAAACCCAATTTCAGGTTTATTTGGTCCAGCCCAAGACCTTTTCATTATAGCCTTCGGTTTTGGATGACGTCCTTCGGTGTTCGCCACGCGTTTGAAATTTCGAAGCTCAGCCATGGAATAGTCTATGAGCGAAATCTGGTGCTAAAGTTCTACAGCTATAATTAGCGCCATTTTGGTGATCCATATTCTTTTTTTTCCGCCATTTTTTGTCCTAAAACTTTCCACTGGGAAATGGCGACAGTGATAAGTTTCTTTCACTCAACGTCCTTCGTTCACCCGGTAACTGTGCGCGCGTGCGCATGTGTGTATATGTGTGTGTGTGTTGTGCGTGCTTATTGAGATGCGTTTTACTGTGAGCTTGTAATTTCTTCATATGCTATGTGGAAAAATTTGATGAATCGAATTTGAGAATGGGCCCTTTGTTCAGTTCAAGTGTGTGTAAGCACATTGAGTATGGTGCTGATTTACTGAAGTAAATAAGGAAGTGTTGTTGTTCTGCTGTTGGTATTTCAGCTTTCTCTCTGTAGAAGATGGAGCAGCGTAAAGCTTGTGAGGATGAAATTTAATTCATCGGGTTTCGCGGGGTGGAGACAGAGGTAATTGTTTTTAGTATTCACAATCTTTGAAGATGAAGATACAGTTAACTGTTTTCCTTGCATTATTCCTTAGTTTGATGATTGATTGATTGATTGATTGTAATGTAAGAAATCAGTTTATAGCTAATGATGGTGTTGCGCTTTGATAGACACCAGTAGTACAATCACCCTCCAAGATTTGATGTAATTATTTTGAAAACACCGGTGTATGTTTTTATTATTCACAATACTTGAAGGTAAAGATGCCGCTAACTATTTTACTTGCATTGTTTCTTAGTTGGATAGTAGTGATGCAGTTCGTATAATAAAAGGTTTCCATCTCTCTTTAAGCTTTTTATACTGCTGTCATTATTCTAAAGAACCTTGAATGTAATGTAAGAAAACAGTTCTTGGCTTGAGATAGTATGGCGCTTTGGTAGACGCCAAGTAGTAAAATACTAATATCACCCATAAAGAGTTGATGTAATTATTTGCGAACACTTTTTTTTTTTTTTATTTTGATTATTCCCAATCTTTGATGATGAAGATACATAAATTATTACTTGCATTATTTCTTAGTTGGATACTGTAATGCAAGAACTAAGAAATTAGTTCGTGGCTTATATGGTATGGTGCTTTGCTTGTCACCAGGAGTAAAATCACGCATTTTTGTGATTTCTAGTACCGGTTGCCTGCAAAACAGTAGAGCATGCTCTCAATCAACATGAAACCTGTAATAAACTGGTTATTGCTAAGAACATGTTTTCGGTTCATTACATTTAAAAAATATTGTGATAATGAACAATTAGAGTCGTTTGCTTTTGCAATGGAATATGCTTGAGCTAATTCATACTATTAATGTGACTGTAGTTATTAACTAAAGTCTAGACATTTTTCATAAATGTATGTTGTGGTAATTTGGCATGCCTCACTACTGCACTGGCACAAATCAGATTGTTTATTTTACAGTTTATATAAAGTAATTATGGGGATTGTGATTCTCTAAATATATAATGTCATCACAATATTGAAAAGTAAAGTGATGCTAGAATTGCTATTTGGATATAATTTGAAAATACATAGGTCCAGAAGTGTGTTCTCTAACTATACAATGTCATTATTCCAGAATTTGTATTAATTATCACTATTTCTCACCTGGGTTTAATAAACAGGACAACTTTGATTTGTGCAGTCAAGAAGGATGCCGAAAACTCTTTTAAAAGAACCGTGGAAGTAGATAGACTCATAGACATGCTAAGAGATGCCAACGATAAAGAAGTGAGTCAGTCCTTTTTATGTTGATTAGTTTGCAAGAATCTTATGTAAGCCTATGCAGTTTTAGATGTTGAGTACTTGGAAGTCTATTATTGTGGCTTCCATATTGATATGCCTAAAATTTTACTGCCGCAATGTTATAGATCCTCTGATGAGAATGTTCAAAATATTCTCCTCATAGAGCAAACTGAGAGAAAATCATGCTGTTGTATGAAAGTGTAATTTGATATCCCCAATAACTCTTTTTCTTTGTCATATTTAACTTTTTTTAGAGAAGACCTAAAGGGAAAAAAAAGAATTTCAAACGCAACTGTGATTGGATCATTCTGTTTTCGGGTGTCATTAGATTATGGTACTGTATGCTTGTTGCTACCTTAGATTAGTGGTTGCATGTAGTGTAAATCTCAACTTCAGCACGCGTTATATCTTCATAAGTCAATTCATTAATTGTTAATAGATATCACTTACACATTCCTTATTATCTATTCTCCTTATTTATTTACTTGTAAGTTTTGTTTACTTGTTTTAATCGCTTATCTAATACTATCATCCTTGTGTCCCAAGTTGTTATCGACATGCTTTATTCCCTAGAATTGATCATTGTTCTCAACTTAACTGATAATCGACTCACTTCATATTGTTTTCTATGTTCGAACAGCTTCAGCAGCTTGTTGCAGAGAATGTTCTTGCTTTTAATGAGGATTTTTGGATACGACTTGCAGCTAAGACAGATACATGCAAATCTGAAGATGACAAAGCATGGTTCTAAACTCAAGTCAAGATTTATTTATATATGACTTGGAGATTATTTATACTTTTCCTAATCCATCTAACTGTTCTTGCTATTTGCAGAAAGATTACGAAGAATTGGCTACGGTATTGATGGTTTTGGTGGATCGTCTTGTGCACAAGACTAATGTATAGGATATACTCTCATTTCTTCAAGTTTGTGCACAAACACTCTTCCATTTTATTAATATCTGTTGCTTCTACATCATTTCTGTTGTGTCATACTTAAAGTTAGTCATTTGTTCTGTTCCCTGGTTTAATTCCATCAGGAAAAAATAGAGTCGGCTACAGATGTGCTTAAGGCAATTTTAAAACCCGTTGTTGATGAAGACGAAGAAATATCTTGGCCTCCTAGGGACCCTGAGGCTCTCATTCTCATGCAGAAAGTATGTTCTGTGTCAGTAGAACTTGATTCACATTTGATTTTCAACAGATGTCCTTGTGGGATTGATATATTTTTTGCTTGTACAGCGTGTCGATTTTTACTTGTTTAATCATCTTATATCATTTGAAAGTCTGGCTTTGTTTTATGCTCCCTCTGTTACCAATTATTTGTCGTCTTATTCCAGAAAGTTTGTCCCGAATATTTTTTCTAGAAATTTATGACATTTTCCAATTTGTACAGCAACCAAACATTTTATTATGAGCATGAAGTGGACATTTATTTATAACTTGCGTTATTTGAACGAAAATAGGTCATTTATATGACATATGTTAATGTGTGTGAAACTCTACAAGATGATAAATAATTTAAGATAGAAGGAGTATCGTTTCATGCCTGTATCCTATGACTCTTTGTTACCGTGCCATCATGACTTCCTGTGTGTCTAAAAGATGTAAATTATTGGCGCTTGTGTGTATTTTAATGCCTTTGTGGTTTGTACACTAGATTTTATCTTCTTTTTTCTTTCCCCTTTCCTTTTTTTACTTTATTTCCCATAATCATGGTTATCGCTGTATCTCATGACATTTGTAGGAACTTCACCAAAGGGAGCAAGAAGGTCATCTTGATGAGAGCTTTCTTTCAGAAGTTAATGCACAGTTGCGACAGGTAAGACTGGTATTTCATGTACATTTATCTACCTATAAATTATTCTAAAATTTTTTAACACCTATGTATGGTCGAAAATGCTAATTTTTACACAGTTAAATTAATTGTGATATCACTACAAATGCATTTCTAAATTGTGGATGTATTCGTTTGGGATATCAGCTGACATTTTGAGAGTTTTTAAGATTTGAGACTTTGTAAGTTTTTCAAACTTTGTAGGGAATCTTATGAAATCTTAAGTCTGGAGGTTGGAGGTGGGATTTGGAGAAGGATTTCGTATAACGATTTTTTCTATTAGATCTCAGCAAATCTTAAAAAGTTTTAATAAATCCTAGTCTCAAATAAGTTAAAGGAAAATGCTACAAGTACATAATAAATGTACATAGAATAGAGGTGTACATAACACTCACATGGAGTGGGGTCCACTTGATTTTTTATTTTTGGTAGTTCCCACACAATGTAAGTGTTATGTACAACATTATGTACCTATAGCATTTCTCTTAAATACACCACGATCCTATCCTAGTATCCAGTATCCAGTATTTTTGAACGGTCATGGATATCAAAATTGTTTCACCATCAAGATCACAGTAAATTGGAGATGAGCAAGTAAATGTACTAATGTGCAGGCAAAAGAAGATGGTGATAAACCAGGGTTTGAAGCTATGCTGCAAAAGGTCCTGCAACTGTATGCTTCTCGAGTCCTCTCCAAGCGTAGTTACGCCAAAAAAGGTGTTTTAATGCATGTTTATTCTCATACGACAGTCTGAAAATATGCAGAAGTTGCATTTGATTTTATTTTGTAAATGAATGAATTTCTGTCACCGTGAACAATTAATCGCAAATAAATCAGGTAATCTTTCTTTCAACACCTGTTACACCTCATTAGGTTTAGCATCTACCTCTTTAACTAGTTGCATCTTCCTAGGTTTTTTTGGCGGCATGTCCATCAGCAACTTGAAATCACATTTCCGGAATTATATAGATAATATTCACACACACATTCAAACGCACACAACCATGATTTTGTACTTAGTATTTTCATGTTGTGTAAAATATAAAGTTGAACTTCCGACTTACACTCCTGTTGTTTTGGCTAGGTGATGAGATATTGAAAGCTGAGCAGTTCCTTGAGACATTAATACAAGGTACTTTCTCACTCATTAGTGTAAAAAAAAAAAAATCAAAAGGAAAAGAGACAAAAGAAGAGAGGATATTGTTGTAGCATAGAGATGCACTAATGCACTTCCATGGCATTGCTGAAGTCAGTTATTACAGTTTTCAGTAATAACAAGTGATTTTAAATGCAATGTGGAGATTTTATAGTGCAAATGACATGCATAAATGCTCTGAAGATGATTGTGTCTTGATTTCTTTTTTTTCTTTTTTTTTTTTCCATTTTGGTTAAATGAAAGATATTAGATGATTCCTATATCTTGGTTTAGTGATGCTTGGATATAAAAATTTTTGGATTTGTTTGGATTTTTTGGTTTAGTTTGGTTAATTTTGAAAAATGTGGTATGGTTAGTTGTTAGTAGGTATATTAAAAAAATATTTAAAATAAAATAATTAAAGTTGATTAGATGTAAAAGTATGAGAGAGATGATTTGAAGTGATAGTTAAAATTATGTGAGTGGATGAATAGTGAAAAAAGGTTGATGTGATGTGTAAGAATGATTGGTTGATATTATCTAATTATATTAATAATATTAATAATAGTTGGGTTGAGTTAAAGTTTAGTTAAAAAAAATGATTGAGTTAAAAATGTTTGAGTTTTTTGGATAAGTTTTGTATCCAAGCATGGGTGTGTTTGGATATAAATCATAACTAGAAAAATCCAATCACAACTTAAATTCAACTCAGCTTCGACCCTTCTCAGTATTATGAATATAATTAAATAATACCAATCAATTATCCTTACACATCGTATCAAATTTAGTTTAATTCATTGTTCATCCACTCACATATTTTAACTACCAATTACTTTCAATCACATTTCTCCTACTTTCACATAAAATAAAATAAAATCAACTGTAATCATTTTATTTTAAATAATATTTTAATGCAAACTCAAAATTCCAATCAACCCAACTCAACCAACTTTTTGAAAATTAACTATGGTTTAACCAAAAAATCCTATCAAAACCAATAAAGATTTATATCCAATCACACTCGTAGTCTTTCATGATCCATTTTTCTTTCTCGTTATCTCGTAGCTCATTTTCGGCAAATGAAACATGCATTTTACCATTCTACGACTTCATAACACCTCCAGTTATTTAAATTGACATCTTGGGAAAACATTATTAAAATGCGTATTTCTTGTTTCTGTGTCAGCTCCCGAAACAGAATGGAATAGGCTACTAATCAATGGATTGAACATCGGTAAAGGCAACATATCCCCTGAAGAACTATATGCTGTCATAAAGAAACGTATCGAAAGGACACTGATAAGAACAGTAAGCACAATATAGGGAGTAATTCAATTTTATTAGTTTTTAACTTTTAAGATCTAATTTTTGTCACACAAACCATCAATCTTGTGCTCGATTTCAGGAGGGTGGATCTTATCAACAGCGTGTTCTTACCGAGTACCTCAGAGGCATCCAATCAAGAGCTGAGGAGGTTGAGAAAGCACTCAAAGGTGGGACACAATGAATTTTTATTTAGTTATTTATTGTTATACGTCCAAATGAGGGTAAATGAGCTTCTTCTCTTGGCAATCTGCAACTGAGCTTTTTGTAATTAGTCTAAACTGCAGGGGTGTTTTGTATAATTAATGCGTTATTGTTGTCACTTTAGTCTTTAAGATGCTGAGATATTACGAGTATTAGTCTGAATTGCAGGGCTGTTTCGGGTATATATTATTGCTCAAAAACCAACAATACACAAAGGCCAATCAAGTGATTGAGAGTTTCTTTCATCTAGCCCTACCTCAGCTAAACTAAAGAAACATGGGATAGCAATAAAGTAGCTACCCTATAGCAAAACCTGAACAAAACAACCACTAAAAACGGGAAACAAAAATAATACATTTCCTCAAACTATAACATTCTACTGAACCCAAACCAAAATAAAATAAAAAAACCCACAAAAGTAATTACAAACCAGCTTGAGCAGTACCCATTAGGACCATGTCCATAACACATAATCTCAGCCGGTTGCAGCAGGATAGATGGTTGCCTCAGCACTGACAATAGACTTTGCCCTACTTCTGCAAACATCCTCCCCATTTCCCCCATCTTACTCTTCCTCTGCACCTCCTTTCTTATTACAAGATGCAAATTCTATCCATTCCCTTAATGCACCATCTGCTACCTCCTTCTCGGATTTCCACTCTTGTTTAAAAATCCAATTATTCCTTGTGCGCCATAACCACCATAGCAAATAAGTTGTTAGCTCTATTCTATCTTTCCTGCATTTTCCTTTGTCCATTGTCATTTTAAGATGCTGAGATTGAAAATTGAAATAACTTTCATATATGGAAAATATTGTGTGTACATAATGTAGGCACAGATGTTTTGATTAGTGAAAGATAAGTTATTTTGGTTTTGATAGTATTTGATGGATAACCATAGTTTATTTTGAAAAAGTCAGATAGGTTTGAGTAAAATTTTGGGTTGTATCTATTACTTATAATACGGAGAAGAAAAAATGTTTGAAAAAATATTTCAAATTCCCGCTTAAAAAACTGTTTTTCCCCCTTAAATTTAATTTGAATTTTTTTCATCCCCTTTTTTTTGCCATGGATTTCCCTTATCTACAACATGATTAGATTTTAAATCTTTTCAGTTCACATTACAATTCGATTTTAATTCGGGATTCAAAATTTGATTAGATTTTTTTTAAATATGTAAAAAAAAGAGAATCCCCTTTCTCTCTCTCTCTCTCTCTCTCTCTCTCTCTATATATATATATATATATATATATATATACAAATTTGTGATGAGTTGAATTTTAAATTCAATTTAATATTAACAAATGTATATTTTATGTAAATAAAATTTAATAGAAAAACAAAATTAAAAAGATTGTGTGGTAACATTTTTCGAAATAAATAAATTATGGGAAGGTGATTTTGTTAGCAAAAAATTCAAAGAATTTTGTTTGGGTTCAAATTTTGAATACGTGTATGATTAGTTATAGATAAATGAATCCAACATATTCTAACTACCAAAAAATATGGAAACACATTTCCTTATTTAAAAAATCAAATTCAAGAATGTGAGGAGTTGAATTTTAGATTTAATTTGAAATTAACCACTAATGTATATCTTATGTAAATAAAACATAATAAGAAAAAAAAAATTTGTGTAGTAACATTTTTCGAAAAGTGTGAGGAGTTGACTTTTAGATTCAATTTAAAATAAACCAATGTATATCTTATGTAAATAAAATTTAATAAAAACAAGAAAAATAGAAAAAAAATGTGTGGTAACATTTTGAAAATCTATTACTATTATTACGACTAAGAAAAATTGTTCAAAAAACTCAAAAAAATTATCTTATTTTCCCGCTTCATATTCCCGCTTTTTTTTTCGTTTTATTACTTTATTCGGTAAAGTTTTTTATTTTTTTTTCATAATCCCGCCTACATTTCAATTGTAATTTATTTGGACGTATATCATAATCCTTTTTTTTTTTGAATCGATTTGGTAGGAATCGGATATTTTTTTTTTGGAAGGGAGTTGATATAAATCGGATAACATCAATTTAAATTAATTAATTATGAAATTTAATTTCCTTTTTTTTTCCAAATCCGATTTATATTATATAGATAGATTTCACTTCCTTTTTTTGTAAGCGATTACCTTTTTTTTGTAAGCGATTGTTTCAATTAAATGTGCACTAAGATCGGGTTGACCGAATTAAACAATTTTGAATAATATTAAATTAATCGATTACTATTAAATTAATTTTATTTGATTTTCACGTCTAAAATTTTCCAAAATACTATTTTTATTTTTGTGGAAAATGACGGTTGGATGAAAAAGTCAAATTCAAATTAAAAAAAATTGTTATTTTGAAAAAGATATTTTGTAAACCTTAATTCATAAAAATATGGTCAATGATAACTTTAAATACAACGGGTAAATATGGGTCAATGATATCATAAATTATATTTTATATTCGATAAGTTCAACTTAATTGATGATTTTGTTTGTTAATATTTGCTTAACTACAAAATATTTTAAAGTTTATAAAGAATCTCATTTTATGTAAGTTCTTGGTACTTTTTTATTTGTACATATTCATTTTTCATCCCATATCCAAATACAAATTTAAATGCGGATCTTACATGTTTATTAGAAATATATGTATATTTTTTCAAAAAGTATGACGATCATATAATTAATTTTATCATATATCATATGTTGGATATTATTAGTTTGGTTGGGGACACTCATTATATTCAAATAAATAATATATAATTTTTCATATTTGGTATTTTTTTTTTATAATAATAAGATGTTAAATATAAATAACTATGTTTAATATAAAGTCTTAGAAAAGGTTTTAAGTAAAAACCCCTCCGTGCAGCGCACGGGATACACACTAGTTAGAATAATATTGAAATATAATGATTAAAGTTGATTTGATGTAAAAGTAAAAGATAAGTGATTGAAAGTGATGAGTAGTTAAAATTATGTGAGTAGATAAATAATGAATTAAAGTTAGTATGATGTGTGAGGATAATTGATTTATATTATTTAATTATACTGGTAATATTGATGATGGTTAAATTGAATTAATACAAATTATTATCTTCTCAAAGATAATTTGTATCCTATCGGGCCCAAATGATTCAGCTTACACATGCATTTAAACCGCCATGCCTATTTGTCAATTGTATGGTGTGATTACAAGGTTTGTGGTTCTTACTTAAGTAGATATTATTTCGTACCTCGTTGAAAATATGCCTCAAATCAGTCATTATTTTTATCCACTCACACCTCTGCCACAAAAATAAATAAATAATATAAAAGCAGTGGACTGAATATAAATTAAACCTTGTTTGGTGATGTATGATAATTTTTTTCCTTGGAATTGTGATTACATATAATTTTTTTAAAAAGTATACTATTCATCTATTTCTATTTTTCTCTTTAATTTTATCAACACAATGAAAAAACATAAATCAATAATTACTATAAACTTTTTATTTTATTCATTTACGTAGTTTTATTCAACAATTATGTATATTTAATATTACAATATATCAATTTTAGTTATTTATATTTTATCTCATAGTTATATACATTCAAAATTAATAAAAACTTCCACCCATTTTTTTCCCTATCTTAACATACTTTTTGTCAGACATATTATTTTACAAATATATATTTAAAGTGGTTTAAGAAATATATTTGTATTTTTTTTTCAGGTAAAATTTATAAATAGTTGGGAATGAATTTATAAGGTGGGCATCCAATAATTGATTGAATGGTACTTGCTAGGGCTATTATCGAACCAAACCGAGCTTAAGGTTTTCGAGCTCGAGTTCGACTAGTTTTTGAACATGTTCGTGTTCTTTTATTTAGTAAACGAACAAAAAATTTCGTTCGTGTTCGTTAGTTTATTGGTTCGAAACGTTCGTGTTTGTTCGTTTATTTAGTTGAACTTCTTCGTGAACTGTTCGAATTGTTCGACAAGTTCGTGTTTGTTAACTTTTTTTTTTAATGTCATACAAGTTATTTTATTTAATATTTAATATATATTCATATTTATATATTATATTATATATGTATATACTATATATAATATACAAAATTATAAAATATTTTAATTTCATTTAATATTTAATATTATTTATATTTATATATTATATTACTAGTACAATACCCGTGTATTACACGGGTGTTGAATTAGAAAGCTTTTGTAAAGAATATTAATTTTTTATTTTCTAAAAACTAAAATAATTTAATTTTATATAAAACATTACTTTGGGTTTTAATTAAATAGTCAAATTATATTTTTTAATCATAATAATTAAACACCCGTACATTAAATAAAAATGTCAACCCGTGTTGAATTTTTTTACTTATATCATATAAAAATATCGATATTATATACTATTACATAAGTACAAAAATATATATCTTAAATAAATAGAAATAATATGTAAGTGTAGAATATGTTTATTTAATATTAAGCAAAATAGATTAATTTTTTTATTTAATTAGATGTCTAATACATCAAGTGTCATATCAGTCGTGCTTTACAGATTTTAACTTTATATGTAATTTTAGATAAATAATTATTTATTTTTATTAGATTGACAACATACCAATTAGATTTGAAATAAACATCATTTTTAAAAGAATACATTCCAATTTCTATTACTTTTATAGTGTTATTTGATATACTTTAATTTAGTTTGATAAATAAATTTAAATTTTATTTATAATGATATATATTACTGTTTTATATTTCATATATATAATATGGATGTCAAATCGAAAATCATTAAAAGATAGTTAATTTGATATATCATATATGAAAAATAAAATACAAACCAAAAAGTTATAAAATCTTAAAATAAGAAGAAGAAACATTTATAAAAACTAATGAATGAAATATATAGGAAAATGAAACATAAAATAATTTATGGTAACTAATTGTAGAAATAAAGAAGGAAAAAATCAATCATGGATTTAGTGTGATAAAAAAATATTAATTTATATCCAAGCCTAACTCCAAAGCATGATTTTTTGCCAAATAGGATTCTGAAGCATGAGAGTTTGCCACGTAAGCTCAACGTATTCTGAAATTATATATAGAGTGGATACATGTATATACCATATATAATATGTAAAATTATAAAATAATTTTTTTGTTCGTGATCGCTTGTTTAGTTCGCGAACATTTTCGTGTTCGTTCAATAATTAAACGAGCATAATTTTATGTTCGTGTTCGGTTCAAATGCTAAACAAACGAGCTATTATCGAACAGGAACAAACTCGAACGAGCTTTTGCGAACGTTCAGTTCGAATAACAATCCTATTATTCACCAATTCTCATGTTGGACTATTTTAATTTCAATGTGACCAAGATAAACGTGTACGGCAAACTTCGAAATATAATTAAATTATGAAAAAATGTATTATTTAAAATGGAATAAGGCAAAATATAAAATGGAATAAAGAAGAAAACTACGCCGGTGCCTATGCCACGCTCAACCAGCCAATGGCATTTCATGGTTTATAGCTTACACCCAATAAAAAAGCCCCATATCAACTCAACGAGCTCCACGTCACTCCAAACTCCCCCAATTTTATGAACCAACAAAAAAATATATATATACTTTGGCCACAAATACTTCTTTTTTATATTTCACAAAAATAATCTCCCACGAAAGGATAAACTCCAAAGGGAAAAAATCAATTTTCTGAAGCGAAAATGTTGAGAATCCTATCGAAAACCGCCTCATCCACGGCCAGGATCGGCGGATCCGCCACCTCCGGCTGGTGCGACGACGTCGATCTGTCCACGTGGGAGCTCGTCAGCGCGTCTCAGTCCGACGACGAGGACCTCTACTCCTTCGATGGGGATGACGTCACCAGCGATGGCGACGAAGACGGAGACGACGTCATCGTCGCCGAAGGGGTGGAGCCCGAGCCCGAACTCGACCCGATCCGATCCAACCACGTGCTCTTGACTCCGTGTGACGTCATTACTGTCCAGTCGCTGACGGCCTCGCCGCCGATGACTCTACCCGTCGAGATGACCATACAAGATCACACTTGCCTTGTAGATGGAGATGGAGATGGAGATGTTAATGATGTCGCTGATGTTGACGATGATGACGATGACGGTTATGATTACGATGACGAGCTGGTTCCATGGCAGCTGAAGGGCAGATTTGGCAAGGAGAGGTTGAGGAAATTGGGGAAAAGGGGTGGGCCTAACCCTATCAAGTCGAAGACCAAGAGGATGGCTTTTTCCTACAAAAGGCCTGGGTGCTTGTACGGCAAGCACGGCTTTGGCGTGCAGCACTCCTTCATCTAGCAGGGGCAAAATCGGTAAGTTAATCTTTTGGGGGATGAAAATGAATGTTGCTGTGGGTTCTGTAGTGATATTCACATCACTCAACTGACGCTATGGAATTATGAATATTAGGTGTTAATATGCATTATCTGATCAGGTGGTTTGTAAATATGGATGGTTTGGGTTGATGTGGTTTCTAATTCAAAGATCTCAAGACTTCTTTCTTTTCATCTACTATATGAATTGGATTTGATGAAATCTTGTCCGAGGCAATGGCAATTTGCTTCGGCTCTTTGATATGTTATTATATTTTGTGCTTGTGTTTATTTTTCATTTAGCTGTCTGTTTGATTGATGATTGGCTTGGTAAATGATAATGTTAACACAAATGCTTGTATGAGGCGGTCTAATTGTTAGGCGGGTCGAAACTTGTATGATCCAGCCTACTAATTGTTGTTGTTAATTTGCTTGGAGTGTTGAAGGGGTTTTACAGACCGGGTTTTGGAAAATGTGAATTCTGAAGCCCGAACAAGAACCCTATTTTCTATGTTCCATGCCTTCGTTTTGAAGCTGGCATTTTGTGGTTCCTTTGTTTTGGCAATGTAAGCTGGCTTCACGCACGTTCTTATTTTCTGTTCTTGTTGTTATCTGTTCTTGCATTGTAATGTTGTAATACTGTAATATTGAATGTTAATTTTTTTCAATCCATGGTTTTAGTCCGGATAATTGAATCCATTTCGAGATTGAGTGAAAATGCCTTTCTTTTTTACTGGGATAAAGGCTTTAGGAGTTGCACTCGAATTGATTATGGCATGGATTCACAAGAACTGTTTCTTGTTCATTATTATAGTATTTGAAGGATTTTTAGTAAAAGTGAAATTGTGCGGTGACTATTTTCTATAATCGTGGAATTGACGATTCTATACTGCACAATGGAGGTTTTGACAGTCAGATCACACATACTCACTCATGGGTATGTGTCATGAAATGTTGAAAAATCATCTATAAATGTCATGAATGTTGATATTTTGTTGATCTTTACATTACCCCACACTGTAGGTGAAGTTATGTTCTCAGATAATAATTGAGTGGCCCTGTAAAATTTGTGGGTTTTTGTTGAATGTCATTGATACTCTAGTTAGGGATAATTACAAAATGTTCTGTTCAGGTTTCCATAATTGCAGAAAGGCCCAGGCCCAGCCACTCTTCAACCTTGCAATATTCTAGAGTGCTCATTGTAATAATCAATAATTTTTTTTTTTTAATAAATGTTACATTTTAAATTCCTTATTTTTCAATCTTTTTGCTTAAGAGTAGGCTTGTCACGAGCCGAGCTCGGATTGTTAAATAACAAGCAAGAAATCGAGATGGAACTTGGCTCGTTAAGGCCTCGAGCTTGAGTTTTAACTCTTAACGAGCTGATCTCGTGCTTTAACGAGTCGAATTATAAAAAATTATATAAAAAATCTCTTTTCGAGCCTAAACGAACCTTGTCGAGTCGAACTCGTTAATTAGACGAGCTTTAAATGAGCTCGTCCTCAGCTCGTTAAGGGCTCAAATTCGAGTTGAACTCGAGCTCAACTAGCCCAGTTATTTTGAAAATTGGATATGCACATTGTTTCTCCTTGTGGTGGTGTTTATCTTTTCAGTTCGTTCATCAAACTTGAATGGTGTTTTTGTATGGTTTTTTTCAGGACTTCTTTTAGCCTAATGGATAGATTTGTATTTTAACCTGGGCCGTGATTGTTGTGTGGACATCAGGCAATGAGCTAGCTGACAATCATCCCATATATAAGTTTGAATCTTTGTCCCAAGAAGCAATTCTCAACATCATCAATAAGGAATGCAAGCATTTTCCATTTTCAAGAAGACTTTAACTTAAAAATTTTCACATACGTTGTTAGATAGTCGGACTAGATAGTCTAGTAGTTAAGCGGGTAGTTAATACTTTTCTCGAACAAAAATATTTGAATGCGAAAGTTTGTATATCTATTGATAAAACATAATTATGATTACACTTGGTACAACACTGTTGAACCAAGTTCCTTCAATATTACTATTTAACACTACATTAAGTTCCTTCAACATTACTATTTAACACTACATGGGTCTTTTGACGTGACCTAAAATTTTGTAGAGTTACTGTTGATTACGTTATGCAATTCAACCATATCAATATATTACTATTTGTCAACACTATATGGGGTTTTTGACGTGACCTAAAATATTGAATTATGTTGTGCAATTCTTCAATAGTATTCGGGGCACCATCATGATATTGGGTACTATAGCTATGTCACTTCTTCACCAGTGTTCTGGGCACCATCATATAATCATGATTTCGTACCCCAAGTTGTATAACATATACAGATCAGCTACAAAGTCCAGTGACTTAGGGAGTAATAATTATAATACTACAACATAGGTTTTCGATAGTAAAATCGTTTGTTTTTATCATTTATTCATTTTTATGCCTGTTATTGTTATAGGCCCTTAATAAAATATTTGTTGAAATTGTCACGAAAAAAAAAAATTGAACTAACAAGGAGGCTGAAAATAGCCGCTAAAATCATTTGAGCAACCTAACTACTAGATAATACCATTTTATTTCAACAAACTTGTTCATTTCAATGCTGACAAGCCATATTTTAGTAAATAAATAATTTTGTAGTGTTATATTCTATAATATTAATATATATATATATTTTTGTTAAAAGTATATGACGAATTCTTGAATCAAGTAAGTTTTTAAGGGAAGGAATTAATCTGCTTACTCCAACCGGGGAGAACATTCCGTCTGCCAGGGAGATTCTGAAATTGCGGAAGCTTAATTTTAATTCTTCTCCGATTTAGTTTGGAATATTACTTATTATATTAAATTTTAAAATTTGGACACTATATCACATCTGTCTTTGTGCTTGTTATTATTAGCCTTGCTTGAACTTTATCCTCCTATTTTTTACACTATCTCACATTAATCAGAAGTACTGTTCATTATTAAGAAAACTTAGGGTGTCACACCTATATTCATAAAATCCGTAAATTTAGATCTAATTTCTACAAAAAACTAATAAATGCTGCTAAAATGAGCACCAAAAATTGGATAAAAATTTATAGCTTTTCTTCAAACTTCCACTAAAAAGTTGCATAAAATGATACCTAATGCACATAAACTAATGATCCAAATAATTGCACCATTCCGTTGCATGTGAGTTGAACTACGCGTATACATATATGCCAAAAAATCCGTACAAAAGGGTACTTATTCTTTTATCCAACTCTCACATATAATGAACCCCTCAATAGGTCGAAAAGATCATAAATTTAAAATAATCTAAATCAAGGACATTTTACATTTTACAAGAATGAATCAACTTTAAGAAAAGCTATGCCTTAACTGGTCCCCAAGTAATTGCATATTATACTAATTAAATACATGTTAAAGTTCTAATGATCAAAAATATGTTTTGGCATAAAGCTGGAATTGCTGCCCACCCTTGTTAATTTCTACTTTACAGAAATTATAGTTTAATTCTTGGATACCCTTTCCATTTACAGTAAATTAAATGAACTTGTTACTCTTTCTGCAAAAGGAGCTTTTTAAATTGACAAAATCGGAAACTTTCCATGGAAAGCATAAGTTGCACAGGCTAAAATGCATTAAATAAAAAAAAAGTAAAAATAAAATTAAACTCAGCTCTTTTGTTCTAAGATTAAAGCTACTATTAGCTAGGTTGATCTAGCACTTAAACAGACATAAATGTTTTGGTGAAAAAATTATATGATTGGTCCGTCCGTCTAACGATTAGACTGTGTACATAAGTTAACTCTCAGTTTACCTAGAAATAAGTTAAACTACATGCAAATTAAGTCAACTCCTTAGTTTGACTCAATATTTTGTAACATCCTATGTAAGTTTAGGTGAAATTTTTTACCTAAAAAATTTTCAGTTATAAGCCACTAAAAGTCTAATTTAGTAGAATCTATGCACATTGATATCGTCATGGGTACGTACTATATGAAGTATATATATTTCCAATATTAATTAGTCGTGTTACTGAGATGGGTGGAGAATTATTCTTTAACTTTGGCTAGTCATGTGAACATCTTTTTTAGCGCAATAAGGTTAAGTTTTATAATATATGGCTTTACTGTGTGCTTTCTGCTTAAGGTCACTATCACACAAAAAGGCCATAAGATGCTCACAAATTTAATCTCTTTCTCTCTGTGTCAGCAATTGAATGGCAAGTTGATGGGTTGAGGGACTGTCTACTGTATTCCAACAGTTTAAAGAATGATAAAAGTTTCTCCGACAAATTTAATATATATTAGGTTATGTTATGATTAAGTAAACGAAAATTTCAATAATTGTAACTCAAATGATATACTTCTTCTTTAATACCGAGTTATCAAACTTCAAACTTTGATATAGTCAGCTAATCAGCTCTGTTGTGAGCTTGGTTGAGACGATATAGGAGGTCGATAACTCAAAGTGTTGACTTGGAGATTGGCTAAATATTGTCTATTATAATGTTTTCTCAGACGATTTTTATATATAAATGGATCCAATGTGCTCGTTGTATATCTTGGACAGAATTTTATTAGTTCGTATTTTGTAAGATATCCGCCTAAGACTTAAACAATAGAGATCTATTTTGTTATAAATACTCTCTCAACAAGTATATATGAGAATCGTCTCTGTTGTATGAAGAGTTCTCTGTGTGTGAACTAACTTGCGCGTCAGAATATTTACATTGGGAACTCTTCCACCTCTTTGTGAGTATCAAAGATCGTTTCATAAGAAATAAGCCTATTCAATTCACAAGCTGTATAGCGCATTAAAGTTTAAAATCTTTTGATTAATATATATAGTTATCTCTTTGTACCCATCACTAAGTCATACAACTAAAAAAGAAAAGAGTGTGTGTAAATACAAGGAGATTAAACTGTAATTATCCTTATGGATTTAGAATGCCTTCTCAAGATACAATAAACGCGCCTTATTATTGTCTTGTATTCAAGGTGTCATAGTAGCTTTTCATCTTCTAATTTTATGACTTCCCATTACAAAAAAATTGTTATATTCCAAAATTCTACGGTAATATATTCCAACGAATATTCTAATGGTATAGCTTCCGTTGGTTGCGTTTGAATGAGTTTTCCATTGAAATTTTAGATGGAATTTGATGATTGCAACGACTATTTTTCCAATGGTTTTTACCGTAAGAATTTCCGTTGGAACATGCAATTTTCGTTGGAATTTTTATTTCCACCTCCGTTGAAAAATCTACTATTGGACTCCCCAAAATCCAATAAAAATTCCAATAGAAAACTCATTTCAACGTAATATTTTTGTTGGAATTCCCATTAGAATACCACTAGAATATATTTGTAATGAAATTTTCCGTTGGAATTTTATTATTTTATTGCAGTTTCCTAATTACTCATGAAGATTTTTTAGCATCACATAAAGTATAAATCATGTGATTTTGTAGACAATATGTACGTTGTTCGAACAGTGTGGAATATTGCATATGTACACCAAACACAATACACAACAGCGACTGCAAAAATCAACTTCCCTACAAGGATATACTTAATGTTATATAATCATATGTGATGATTATGCAACTTCTAAGAACCAACATTATTAAATTAAAGCCGACAAACAATCGCATAATCTGGAAAAGAGAGGCTTCGAAGTTCAAAAACTATCCACAGTGACAATAATTCTGATCATTATACTCATTAAAAACAATACTATAAAAATTAACCACAACTAGATTTGCTGCATGTGGACAACAATACACAATGACACAACCTTTTTGTTTAAAAATCACAGACAAAAGAGAATAATCTTGTTAGGCAGCCCACATTCCAATTTTATGTGTTTCTTTCATTTTATTTTTTTTTTCACTTTGTTTTTAATTAAATTAAATACACTAAAAGTTAGGAAGGTGCAAGAACCACAAAGCTTGACACAAATTAAATAACACAAATTCTTGTGTGATGTAGTTTAACGGTTAGGTTGGTCAATCCGNTTTTCAATAAATATATACATGTTTATAAGAAAATTATACTGAACAGAAGACCTGAATAAATAACTATAAGCATAATTGGGAATTGTACAATGTAATGTAAAAATGTAACTGATGAAATTTTATTGACATCTTAGACAGGAAAATAATTATTTTTAAATAATTAAAATAGTGAAAAAAAATATATATATATATACCTCAACAAGGAAAGTATATATTTCAGGATTTTGGGTATTGGAAAAACTGGGAATTGGTTGCAGTGGTAAATGCACAAAAAGGGCTTGGATATGAAGAGGCGGTTGTACCAGTGGCATCTGCAGTTGTACCGGCGCAAGTGGCAAAGTTAGGCTGCTGCAAAAAGCCAAGGCCAGAGCCCTCTACAGTTACATAATTTACAGTTCCTTCCAGTTGAGGACCTTGATCATATAAAATACCTGTGAATATGTGGCCTCCAATACTCACCGATGTTTGATATGCGTATTGATCAACTAAATTGTCAATTGAGCTCACTCGAACACATCTGAAAACTGCAGGAGAAGTAAACTCACCAGGAAATTTTCCTTCTCCTAACCCTAAAATTTGAAAAAGAAAAAAATAGAAAATTGAAGAGAAACTCAATATAACTAAAGGAAGCAGGGTTTAATGGTTAGACATATATATTTTTTCAACAGATATACATAATTTCACACCCAAATTTCATACTCTAAAAATAATGTAAACAAAAGAAAATATTTCATAGTATTAATATCCAACATAAGGTTCACCTAACAATTAGGTAGTTGCACACTATTAGCCAAGAGTCATATAGTGATTAATGAAGTTCATAAATCATAACATTTGTAGACATGCATGTATCAATAAAACTATAGGAATATATATAATAAATGAGAAAACATGAATTATAATGTCAATTGGATAAAGAATTTGCTCCATGTTTAAAATCAAATTTCTTGAATTGTATATATATAGTTAAAAGATAATGGTCTAGTTGATTATCTAAAAAAAATCTCACTTTTCAAATGTGTGGGAAATGAGGAAGACTGAGAACATTATTAACCCTTATAAAGGGAACAAATATTGTTTGATTTACACATTAGAATTATAAATTGGAGGTCTAAAAGATATCTATCATGGCCATAATAAAGAAATTATGGAAAGAAGATGTGCACATTTTTGTAAATAGCTAATAAATTAGAACTTTATCCAAGCAAAAAAGTACTTCAAAAAGTTCCCCAACCATAGCATAAGAATCAACATTTTCATTTCATAGCACTATATGACAATTCAACCTATGTTTACTACAAGAACATATATTACAAGGAAATTAAATTCCTAAGAACAAATATTTTGTTGAGAAATCAAATAAATATCTCAATATCATGACTATATAAATTGAAAATTCCAACAAAATTCAAGAAAATAATATCTTGTTCTACTAAATTAAATTTTCCAAATGCTATTTTTCCAACTTAATTTTAAGGTTTCCCAAGGAAAATTGCTTTCGGAATATTCAACTAACTACAACAGAATATTTTCGTTTTACACTCCGTAATAAAATAGTTCTATCGCAATTTCATATTCATTCCATTTTCAGATTGAAAAATTTCACAATTTTCTTGTACTACTTTAGCTAGGGTTTGCCATTTAACTGCACTGCTATAAAACAAAATAAAAAATAAAGGTAAATGACACACCTTTTTTCTGTAAAGAAAAGGAAAAACAACATCAAAAATAAAAACAAGCCTTTAATACCAAAAGATTTTTTAAAAAAAAAAACAAAAAAAAAGTAATCATTACACCGTTGAGTGCGTGTTTGTGCGTTTTTATCCGCGGATCTACAAAAATCCCGTGCACTATTTAAATGAAATGATAGAGAAAATCAAACAGTTCCTATGTAAATATGATTACCTAAAGTTTCTCTGTATCTTTTAGGGTTTGGTCCATAGTGCTGTTGGTCAACAGTGGCTGCGATCTGGTGGTGCTGGCGCACGGTACAGTGCCTGGGCCGCCGTTGGGAGACCGGAACCCACGTGCTTCTCACGTGCGTTTGGCACTCGAAACCTCGGGTCTTACAGCAAGTCCTGCACCTCAAATGCTCGCAATCTCTCTTTGCTTGATTTCCACAGTCTTGGCACCTGCTGTTAATTGATGTTGTGCTGCTATCTTCTCTTCTCATCATTAAAAAAATAAAAATAGATATAAAAAAATATATATATATATATATATAGTGTGTGTGTGTGCGTGAAAAATTAAAATAAAAAAATTAGTGTTTCGTATTGACACATGTTTAGATTTGATTTTGATTATTAGGCTTGGAAATTATCGTAAACTAATTTTAGTTTTCCTTTCTTCTTAAGTTACCGTATACTATCCCTACCTTTTTTATTTAATTCATATATTAATTATTATGAATATGTATTCTTTTTATTTTCAAAACTTTATCTTTTTTATTAGTATTTTATTTTTATATATGATCTACCAAAATAATCATATTTTAACGATATTCCATTTGACATCTATATTGCATATATAAAATATCTATATTTATAAAAAAAATTAATTTTATTATCAACTCAATTTAAAAATTATCAAATAACAATATAAATTATTTTATAAAAATAATAAAAATCTAATTCATTAATACACCATAAAATAATCAGTTTATTATTTTTTACCATAAAATTTGGATTAATAAAAATGAAAATTAAGCATTACAAAAAAACAAATTTAAGAAATATTATAAAATATTAGTTCTCAATTTAAATAGATTATATAAAAAATTGAATGTTATTATGTTATTTAAAATAGTAAATATAAAAGAATATCATAACTAAATATAATAAATAATTTATTTCATAAAGTTAGAAAACAATGCATTTATACTTAAATTCTAAATTCTTAATTATACGATTTTAGAATACTTAAAAATTAATAAACGTCATACATTGACTCTGTAAATATAAATATAATCACAATACAATAAAACTTGTTTGTTGAAAAAAAAATCAAATATATGGAGTTGTAAATAATATCAGTTTTATACATATATAATTTTAAAAATATAATCAAAAAGTATCATTTTTGACAAATTTAGTGTAAAAGCATGAACACCATTTGAATTGATTATAATTAAAGTCTCTGCCTATATCCTCTTTAGGTATTTGTACTATGGCGAAGTAAAAAACCACAACATATACGTTTTGAATTGATTCCATGTTCTTAAGAGAATGTAAGAAAATAAGTAAAAACGAGGTCGAATATTTCGTTAGTCAGCTCGGGTGCTCGTCTTTAATGCAGTATTAATTATGAGAATTTATGTATCCAGTAGAGAGAGATTTTTGAACTATTTTACAATTCATTCATAGAACTATTTATAGTAAGGATGACTCGATTACTGTTCATCGGACAGTACAATCCTGTATTAGATAAACAAGACACGCATTTAATGCATCGTGTGACCCCATAAGACCATGGCACGTAGGCTGGCAAACTTTTTATAGGAACGTCCCATCTTTCATCATTTGACTACAAGTTGTATTATGATTTTTTCCGCCTTAGTGCGCTTGGCTTGGGTCTTCGATATTAGCTCTTGGCTCATTTTGTCTACCGTAATTACTTCCTCCTGCCTGATTGAAAAGAAACTGATTAATTACGACGAGGTACTGAACGTACAGCGGCGTTGTATGTTCACGCGCGAGCTGTACGTTCAGTACCTCGACGAGGTACTGAACGTACAGCCGTGCGTTCACACTAGGGACGGTACCGTAATTAACCAATTCAAGTGTGAACGCGCGCGGATGTATGTGCAGGACGAACGGTACCGCCCCTAGTGTGAACGCGCGGCTGTAAAGTGTTGAGCTCGGCTCTTCTATCTTTGGTAACTTCTTGGTCGGTCGTATACTTAAAACTACCCGACTTGGATATCCTGCTTGATTCTCGCTCAGTACTCGACAATTTTCATTTCGGGTTCGATTCACTCTTAATCCCCTAACCCGATTATTTAACTCGGCTCGTTCTTCAAGAATATATTTTTTTTACCTACATCTAGCTAGTTAGCTATCAACTAAGGAAAAGAAAATGAAAAACAAAAAAAAAAAAAAACTATAANTAAATCCACACACAAACTGACACACATATTATCAGATGCATAGACATAAAAAGGCTTGGGAGTTAAGATGGGAAATTAAAAAGGCAAAGATGTCTCTGTGGATATGAAGATCACGGAGATGGCGACACGTGGTCTCAGTGGTGCAACACAACAAATGAATCCACTGTTTGTGCTTTCAAATCAACAACTTTATAAACAGTGGAAACAAATAATGGTTGGGTGAATACGACTTCTCCAAATGTGTGGTGCGAATCTGAGGTTCAAAAACCCGCTTTTAAAGTTTAGCCACTGGCAGATTTCACTTCCCACAGTGAAAAATTTGAGTACATCCCCCCTTAAAATTTGCTGGATTCTTTTGTTCTTTTCTGGTCATTAATTTGACCTTCAAAGCTCGGACGAGTAAAGCACAGTGAGATAAAATTATAATTGTATTCTAAAACCGTGTTTACCTTAAGAAAGCCTTCTTAATGCATTAAGACTATAATTATAATTGTATTCTAAAACCGTGTTTACCTCAAGAAAGCCTTCTTAATGCATTAAGACTGTTTGATATATTTAGTTTATAAGAGCTGATAAGTTAGTTTATATCTAGTTAATGAATTTAGAGTTTATACCTAATAGTTTATTGTATATGGTTGAAAATATAGCTCATATGATAATACTGTTTGGTAAAATATAATACTGTTTAGTAAAATTAACTGATAAGTCAACTGAAATAAATATTTTAATGAGCAATTATTTGAAAAGTTATTTAAAAATGCTTATGGTTATGTTTAGTAAGCATATAAACTAGCTTATATGACTTATTTGATTAGATGTGTGGTAAAACTAGTTTATAAGCTAGTTGATACCTCAAGGCTGACAAACTAATTTATAGCTATGTTTGGTAATCAAATAAGCTAACGTATATCATATTTTTGTTTAGCTTATAATTTTCCTATATTCAAATAAGTTTTGGTTGGTAAAACGAGTTTTTTTAAAAAACTCGAGCTTATTTCATAAGCTTCTTTTGGTAACTTTTCAAATAAACTCGTTGAAATTTTTATTTCAGCTAGTTTATCAGCTAATTTTACAAGCACTTTTATCATATAGGCTGAAGAGTTACCCAAAGAAGCTTATAATATAAACTTCAGTCTTTTCAAAAAGTTCTTCCCACCAAACGAAATTTATTTAAATATAAAAAATTATAAAATAACAAAATAAATTATAAACTAATTTATTTGATTATAAAAGATAGGCATAATATTTATGAATTTACATACTATTCATCAATTTAGAATTATTATTATTATTATTATATTATCTATACTTATATTAAAAGGTATACCATTTACTAGATTTAGTATAAAGAAAAGTCAACAACATTTATTGCATTACTATTTCCGTATTATACAATCTATACTTATATAAAAGGAGATTCTATTTACTACATTTACTATCCAGAAAAGTTAAATGTCATTACTATTTTCTGTATTATAATGTTTTATTTATTTAATTGATTTATTTATTTGTTTTATTTTAAAAAGGAAAGTATAATAAAAAAAATTTAATAATAAAAAAATCAAATACCAAATAAAAATGTACACTTTGACTTATTTGATTATATTTGGTATTTGATTATCCAAATATATTCCTATTTAGTATATACATTAAATACTTACTAAAGTATTTATTTGTTTTATTTGTCAAAGTTAAGTATAGATTTGTTTATATTATCAAATCATAAAACAAATAAATATATCTCGGGATTTGAACATTGTATAATTTTTTTGTGTATTATAAATTTTTATAGTGCATCTTATAATATAATATTCTCTAAATAAATATATAATATTCTCTAAATAAATATATCTCGTGCTTTCGTACGGGTCATTTATACATTTTTCTTTATTCATGTATATAATTATAAGCCTGGATAAATAGCCCTAAAAGGTGCAACATGTGCATCACGGGCTCTGGTTATTATTATGCAACAGCTTTGCAAGAGTTTTCCTTACTCATCGACGATTGATTGATAGGGAGAGAGAAAGGCACCTGTGACTCCATCCGACGGTCGGAGCCTATGCAACTCGTTCAACTCATCATCCCCATCGAGTCCGCTCATCTCACCGGCTCTTACCTCGGTGACCTCGGCCTTGTCCAGTTCAAAGACGTTAGCAATTTTTTTCATGTTCCCTTTCTGTTTGCTTGTTTTTGTTTTAATTCGTTCTTCTGTTTGATTGGGATTTTTTTGGGTAATGTTATGTGGCTGGTGTTTTATTTTGATTTTATTGGCTAGCGGTTTGGGTAAATTCTGGTAATCATGAATATAGTTGATTGGCGAGGACTTGAATTGGTTGATGTTGTTAGAAGAAGTGAAGATGGATTTTTGAATTGATGTGTATAAGCCTGGGTTACTGGGTGGCTGTCGAGTTGATTAGGACAGTTAGTTCATGTGTGCTCGAGCAATGTTTAAGCTACGGTTGAATGAAATCTGGCAGGTTTTACCAGGCTGCTCTGTAATTGGAAATTGGGATGATGCCTTAGGATGATGGACATATAGACATGTGTTGCTGCTGTTAATTAATGCAGTGGTAAAATTGGTGTCGTTATGATTTTATTTCGTAAAGTAGCATATCTAAGGTTTTACAGCGCATTAATTGATTGGTTGTGTGTATCCATGGATAAGTGGAGATTTCTCTCATATTGTATTGATAAAACACGACATTTGTTTATAAGAGAGATTAATGATTGCTATCATTGGACACTTATTGCAGTGTTTCATGATATATTCAAGTTGAGGAGTCCTGTGTTTGTGACGAAGGTGGCGGATGTTTTGTAACAGTGCAATTTGATTTCTAAGTTTATTTTTAGCATCTTTTTGAAAAATTTCTGTCATGAGAAATTCAGGCATTTTGTAATCAATAAAATTTTGTTATTGCAGATTCAGGGTGCCTTACATAAGGCAACCCTCGACTCCAACTAACAGCTCGACGTGATTTTCCAAGTCCTGTGTTCACGCGAGATGCTGCCAACCTATTTTAGAACTAACAAATTCACTGCAGCTTTCCAAGAGATAGTCGATGCTTATGAGTGAGTTTGCAGATTAATATGGCTAATCCTTTTAGTAGTCGTAAATTCACTGGATTGACTTGACAAGAAACATTGTAAGAGGGAACACAACCTTTATTGAGCTGGTCAATTGACACCTAAAGCAACTTGACTTTTATCTGAAATCAAAATTCTTAAAGTTGGCCTTACTTGCAAGCATTGAATCTCATGCTTTCCAAGAGATAGTCGATGCTTATGGGTGAGTTTGCAGATTAATATGGCAAATCATTTTAGTAAGTTGTAGTTGTAAATTCACTGTAAAAGTTTGACTTGACGAGAAACATGTTAAGAGGGAATGCAATCATTATTGATCTGGTCAAGTGATACCTAAGCAACTTGACTCTTATCTGAAATCAAAATTCTTAAAGTTGACCTTACTTGCAAGCATTGGATCTCATGCTATCCAGTGGTTTCAATCAAGAATAAAATGTTGTTAAGTTGAATGACTTATGGTGTGATGAATATGAATTTGATTGTTTTTTTTTTAACCATAGTTACAACAACAACAACATAGCCTTTTTGTCCCAAGCAAGTTGGAGTAGGCTAGAGATGAAACCCAAGAGAACCAATGGTAAGAGAAACACAAAAAGGGCTCAAAACAAAAGGAAGAGACTGGAGCAAAAAGAGAAAGGAGCAAAAGTCACGGTTCTGGCACGTTGATTGCTAGCCTCTCTTCAGCTAATTTTTAACCATGGTTAATTTTGAAAATGTGGTATGGTTAGGTATTAGTGGGAATTTAATTTTAAATTAAAATATTATTTAAAATAAAATAATTAAAGTTGATTTGATGTAAAAGTAGGATAAAAATGATTGGAAGTGATAGTTAGTTACAATTATGTGAGTGGATGAATAGTAAATTAAAGTTGATGTGATGTGTAAGAATGATTGATTGATATTATTTAATTATATTGATAATATTGAGGATAGTGAAGTTGGTGTAAAGTTGAGTTAAATTTGAGTTTTGATTGGTTCTTTTATTGATTAAGTTGATAACCAATCACACCCTTATTTTTTTTTTTCATTTATTAGTGTCCATATTGTATTGGTACACGGGAGATGCTGTCAACCGATATGAGAACTAACAAATTCACTTCAGCTTTCCAAGTGATGGTCGATGCTTGTGGGTGAGTTTGCAGATTAATTTGGCTAATCTTTTAAATAAGTTGTAGTCGTAAATTCACTGTAAAAGATTGACTTGACGAGAAACTTGTGAATTGTGATGAGGGAATGCAATCATTATTGATCTGGTCAAGTGACACCTAAGCAACTTGACTCTTATCTGAAATCAAAACTCTTAAAGTTGACCTTACTTGCAAGCATTGAATCTCATGCTTTTCTGTGATTTCAATCAAGAATAAAATGTTGTAAACCATAAAACTTACACTATATATAATATATATACGTCTGTGTGTGTGTGGTGTAATATGACCACACATAACATAAGAAACAGAGGAAAAAAACTTATTTGTTTATTAACTTTGAGGATGGTTTCTTTTATAGCTTTGTTGAGTTTGATTTTGAACATCTTTGCTAATGAGTGCCTTGGAGGGATCACAAGTAGTTTTGTGAGGAAATTCGATGAGAGCGAGGATATGCCTCTCGACAGCGATGTCTTCCGTGCGCCTCCTGGCTACAATGCGCCGCAACAGGTCTGTTAGTTAGACTGTTTTAGTTCTCTTCCTTCTTTTTTTCAATTATTTTTATTGTGAGACATTCACTTTATGCTTTAAACCATGTTGTTTTAGCTAATGTGCTGAATATTGTTGGTTTTGAAACATTCTGAAATGGCATGAGAAGTACAAATTCCTCAGTACAATAATATGAAAATGGAACAGAGAATTAAGTTATTATTACTGTTGTTAAAAGGAGTACAGCTTGCCACTTGTTGTATATTTATTTTTGGGGATCATCTTTTTCATCCCACTATAAGAATATATTAAGTTTTTTACACTATCCGCTGATAACTTAACTTTTTTACCTCATAAAGTGCAAAAGTTATATGAATGGACCACAAAACTGTCGCGCATAACTGTAAGGCATATTCATTGCACAATGCCTCCGCACTTCAACTTTTCCACCTTTCTAGTGCGAAGGGTTATGTGACTGGATCGCATAATTGTTGCATATCCATCATGTTGCATATTCATCGTACAATGCCTACGCACTTTCTAAGGTGAAGAAGTTAACTTATCAACGGTGTGAAAAACATAATACACTTTCTTATTGAGGTGAAAAAGACTATCTTCACTTTATTTTATCAGAATTTAATATTCATTTATATAGTTTCTTCTTCAGTGGTAATTTAATTACTTTTTCCTTAAATTTCTAATTCCGTCACAGTGCACAAGTGTATCAATAGATTGTATATATATATATTGTGTGTTCTTGTTAAGGTTCACATAATTCAAGGAGACCATGTCGGAAAAGCCGTGATCGTGTCATGGGTGACGATGTCTGAACCGGGTTCGAACACCGTCTTATATTGGAGCGAGTCGAACCCCAGGTGCAAGCTTAAGGCTAAGGGTACCCGCAGCAAGTACAAATTCTACACCTACACATCTGGCTACATCCATCACTGCACAATTGAGAACTTGCAGGTCAAAATTACACCTGTCGTCGTCTGTCTTATTCTGGCCTAAATGTTAGACGGGTCGCCTCGGCATACTTTTTTTTATTAACAAAAAATGCATACTTATACTATGGAATATCATATGTTATATTTAAAGTATGAGGACACTTCAGTTTGAAAGCATGTATACCTGTTGAGAAAGTGTGTGATGCTAATATTTGATTGCAGTTCGACACTAAATACTACTACCTGGTGGGCTACGGCCAAGCGCCCAGGATTTTCTCGTTCAAAACCCCCCCTGAAGTTGGTCCTGATGTTCCATATACATTTGGTCTCATAGGTAGCAAAAGATTTTATTTGTTTCTTTTTTATTTATTTATTTATTATTATTATTATTAATTTTTGTATTGGTTATGAGTTTTTGGACTTATATTAAAACTTTGGAGTCTCCAAACATTATCCTAAAAATCCATGCTAAGCATGTCTGTATGCATGCCCTGAAGGGCCGCTGTAGTTTGTTGCGAACACTCTGTAATTNATGCAGGGGATTTGGGTCAGACTTATGACTCAAACTCGACTCTAACGCATTATGAGTCAAATCCAATCAAAGGGGAGACGGTTTTGTTTGTGGGTGACCTGTCATATGCGGATAAGTATCCGAATCACGACAACAATAGATGGGATACTTGGGGAAGATTTGTCGAGAGAAGTAATGCTTATCAGCCTTGGATTTGGACTGCTGGCAATCACGAAATCGATTATGCCCCCGAAATAGTGAGTTTGTGTTTTTTTTTAGACATCGTGTTAAATGTATGGTGCATGATTGAAGATTTACGAACACAATGAGTATAAGGTGCCTCGAAGATAATAGTTATTATCGATATTACAGTTTCTGTTATCATAAGCTTTGGTATAAGCTATAACGGGCATATGGATGAGACATTGTACGAGAATATCGTGCTATTAATAGCAATAAATTGCAATAGAAGTATTTGCAATAGTTAATGTATACTCCACAAGCATCACAGATACACAATAACATAAGTAGCTTCTTGTCTGAAAATGACTATCAATATGGTATATCATATTGAACATTTTTAACTTGGTAAAATGTAGATTGCATTTAAAATCGATGATAAACTTGTCTCGACTTGTTAATTGCAGGGTGAGCCGGAACCATTTAAGCCTTACACTAGCCGATATCCCGTTCCGTATAAAGCATCAAACAGTACTTCACCCCTTTGGTACTCAATCAAGAGGGCTTCGGCATATATCATTGTTCTATCATCATACTCGGCTTTTGGTATGTACCAACAAGTTATTTCACAAGCTTTCTAGTGTATGTGCTAAATTTAGCAAAATTAATTATATGCATGTTATTTGAGTATCTGTTGTTCTTATCCTAGGCACGTACACTCCACAGTACTTCTGGTTAGCAGCCGAGTTCAGAAAGGTGAATCGAGAAGAGACACCATGGCTGATTGTTCTTGTCCACTCGCCATTTTATAACAGCTACAAAGATCATTACATGGAAGGTGAGACCATGAGAGTGCTGTTCGAACCATGGTTCATCGAGTACAAAGTCGACATAGTCTTTGCTGGTCATGTCCATGCCTACGAACGATCTGTAAGCATGATATAAGTATACATCATATTTCATGAAAAGTTAGCCGTTTTTTCTTATCTTAATCATATAACTACGCAACATTAGATGGAAACCTGAAAATTGGCTGGTAAAACTGCAAGATCTTGGCTAGATATCAAACGGAATATAAGTTATGAAAGCATGTGTTGGAACATTTATACTCTTATAAGCTAAGCTAGAGCTTATGAAAGAGTGACTTGAAAAAACTTAGCCAAATATTGCTTTATTACATTTACTTTAACAGGAGCGCATATCAAATTCTGCATACAATATCACAAACGGAAAGTGCACTCCATTGTATGACCAATCTGCCCCTGTATACATAACCATCGGCGATGGTGGAAACATTGAGGGCCTGGCCACCGCGTAAGGCGTATTCGTCCTTTTTCTAAGCTTGAAAATATTCCGCCTTTCCAACTTAATTGATTTAAACACGATATTTCGAACTGAAAAATATCATCCTATGTTGTTTATTTTCCAGCATGACAGAGCCACAGCCCGCATATTCGGCCTTTCGTGAGGCAAGCTTCGGACACGCGACTTTAGAAATAAAAAATAGAAGCCACGCATTTTACAGCTGGCACCGTAATGACGACGGGTACGCCGTGAAAGCCGATTCCAAGTGGCTTTACAATCGCTTTTGGAATCCCATGGACGAGACCGTGGCTAGCGCATGACGGGGATCGAGCACGAGTTGTCGATTTTTTCCGTGGCTCTATCTTTCTATTTCTGGTAATGCTTGGAAGTTGAAACTTCAATTTGTTGTATCAAGTTCGATATAAATAAATATGTTCCAGCCTTCGAGGGATCGAATAATGTAACAACTATACAATTATAATATAAATAAATGAATTGATGATAATGTAAATGTATTTACACATCTTTCTTTTAGTAGTATGACAATAAGCCAAGATTCTGTAAATGATAGATAGGTATCTCAAGAAGTCATGCTGCTCCAAAACGCGCATTTCTGATATATCAGCTACATTTATAAAATTGATTAGTTGATGATGTGTTAAATCTTAAAATATATGATGATACTTGTTGAATGAAATTCATTCAATTAAATTGTTTATCATTAGATCATAGGTGTTAGTACTCGATGTTAAGAGTTAGTTTGTCGAAAGAATATTGGCCAATCAACCTTGGATTTGGACAAACGGAAATCATAAGGTCGGTTTGGACAGCTGTGCTAATATCTTATCCTGAAATATAATCCTCCTCACAGAACATTTTTCTTCATTTTCTGATAGTTATATTTCTAATAACAGAGCGTAGAACTGTATTTTCTGAGGTGGTTCTTAAACTTCTAAAGTGTAGATCATTAGACTTGCTTCCTTTGGTGCTTATTGTTTATGTATTTATTACTTTCATTGATTTCTTGTTTACTCCAACAACCAAGCAGTTCATTTTACTTTATTTTTTTCTAGAACTTTCTGTAAATTGCAAATTGTAAATCGGTTAGGATGAGCCTGTGACTTGTATATTGGAAATTGCATTGCAGGGTGAAAACAAACCCTTCAAGGCATGTAGTTTTTTAATAGACACATGAATACAGTTGATGATTTTATGACTGCTCATTCTAGAAGGAAATAATTTAATTTTTGGTTGTCATTTTGTGATCTGTAGATGGAATTTCCTGAGAAGGGTGACATATGAGGAGTAGGAATTGTCAGTAGCCTTTTGAACTATGAATCCTCGAGTTCGAGAAACTTTAACGTGGTAATTTGTTTTTCGAATTTCAGTGTTCGATCTCTAGAAATCTGGGTTATTGATGTTCATCTTCTAAAGTTTGGATCGAGCAAGTTTAGAAAAGATTGAAACATATTATCAATCGAATTGGACTATGCCTTTTCATGTGATGTGGTCTGGTGTTTAAGTTGCAGGTACATATGAGAGATCCCACATCAAGCAGAAAATTAATATCTCACGCCTATTATAATGCTTACTTGTCTTTTAAAAAGTATCTTGAGTTGCATTATTATGTTTCAAATTGGTATCGGTCTAGATTATTTATTATCACTTAATCAGATTTTGTTGAATCATATTACTGTTGTTCATGGAAACCAATGAGCTTTTTTTTAATTGTTCTATAGTTACGGTCATAAAATTTGGCCATATGTGTTCAGATCTGCTCGCTTATGTAGTAGCTGATGGAAGCTTGACTGTGTGCAGCGTCTCCTTGCCGTCGTCAATTTTAAAGCAGTTAATAGGACACACAAAAGATGTCACAGGTTTGATTGATTGGTACTATTTAATCTTTTCTTCATGTCTATACTGGTTTTTATTTCTATCTGTAAAACCACCCGTTAATTGAATCATCTTGTATTATATGCCACTTTGTGAATGGTAACTGCCCAGATGCATCAGCTGTGCACAGTGATTATATGCAATAACTCAATATCTTAAATGACATAGCTCCATAAGGAGAATGGTCTAGTGAGTTACTGTATTGTTAATCCCTGTTGTTTTTGTTTCATGTTCATCTGGACAATCGAACAGTCTCTTCTGAGAAAATCATAAATAAATGTTACAACTTTCATCCTTGGTAGCAGAGTTATCAGTATGAATGCTCCAGTGGCTTTAAAAAGTTCAGGATACAAAACTTTGTTCGTGTTTATTCATCCCTGCTTCTGTGTGATTTTGTGTTGATTGATGATTTATTCTATGAGATTTTGTGCAATTAAAAGCAGATTTTTTTTTTTTTTTTTTC